ACTCTGCAGAGAGCTCTCACTGCAGGCCACACAGGTTCTCTTCTCAGCTGGACGTCAGCCTTTGGCAGGTCTCCGAGATGTTTTGAACTTCAATTGTCTCAACTGTCAAAGGAGGGAGTAAATGAGAAGTCTCAACCCTAACAACAAACACATGACTAAACAATTCACCATGCCATCATATTAGGCAGTCATTTAAAAAAAAAAGTGAGACAAAAGTTCCACACCTATTGTCAGAAATATAAAAACAAATAAAACTTTGTGGAGGTAGAAATGTTTGGAATCAAATGAGAGGGTAAGTCTGGCTGATCATGAGGTTCTATTTTGGCTTAAAAATTGATCAGCCACAGAGAACCCTCCAAATGGGGAATCTGGTATCCCAAACCCAAAATGTGAATGTTCTTTGACCCAGTAACTCCACTTCTAGGATTTTATCCTGAGGAGAAAACAACCAACCAAATAAATACTCGTAAGGTACGTGCAAAAGGACACATATTGCAGAGATATTTCTAGAGCGTAACAGTGAAAACTGTTGCTAAATGGGGGATTGTGCTCGTAAATAAGGGACAATCCACACAACAGAATCCTGTGCAGCCATTAAGAATGTTGTAGTGCCCTGGCTGGTGTGACTCAGAGAGTGGAGTGCCAGTCTGTGAACCAAAAGGTGGCTGGTTTGATTCCCAGTCAAGGCATACGCCTGGGTTGTGGGCCAGGTCCTCAGAAGGGAGTTGTGTGAGAGACAAGTAATCAATGTTTCTCTCACTTTCTCCCTGCCTTCATCTCTCTCTAAAAAATGAATATTTTTTTAAATGTTGCTGTAGTAATTTATTTATAGATATGACAAGAGGAAGTGAAGAAAGGCAAATCACACAACAGCGTGTATGTATAATTGGACCCAATTTTTTCTGACTATGTACTTTCATATATGCATATTCACATTTTCATACATAGAAGGAAGTCTGGAAGTAAATACAGCAAGATGTTCATTGTTTTGGGGTGGTAAGCTTATTAAAGGTCTTTAGTTAGTTATTTTTATGTTTGTTTATTTATATTTATTAGTTTTTATACAATGGACATGTAGTAATAATAATAGCTTCCCACTTGAAGTGGCCAGACTTTGCATGAAGTACATATTATGTGTTTCATTCAGTGTTCACAATGATCATTTTAAGGGTGTTGGTAAACCCATTTTAGAGGGGGGAAACTGAGGCTGAGGCTTAGCTAAGTCATATACTGTATTGGTTTCCTACTGCTGCTGTAACAAATTACCACAAACTCAGTGGCCTAAGACAACACTGATTTATTATCTTATACGTCTGGAGGCCAGAAATCTGAAGTGGGTCTCACTGGGCTAAAATTAAGGAATCAGCAGATCTGCCAAAGAGTGGGCTTGGACTACAAGCAGAGCACAGTAGCTGGGGCCCTGGCCAATTTCTGTCCTATCAGTCAGATCCGAGAGGTGCATCCTCAGGGTGGCCATGTGGGGTTACCTGGTGACTTACCACATAACACTGTCACTAGGGGAGAGCTATCTGGGGGACGGAGCCCATGTCTGCCTCTGTTCCCAGCACTCCTAGCTAGCGTGTTCTTAGACCTTTGCGTCTGGCCTTTGGAGCTAGGTAGACTTTCATGCTGCTTTGCTACCTATACCTTTCTAAGCCTCAGTTTATTATTTATTTATAAAATGGGGTTAATAGAAGTACCTCCCACATTGGGTTGGTATAAGGATGAAATGAAATGCTCAGTGTCAAGGCTTTTGGTCAGCCTGGCACGTGGCAGTGGTAATGGCCAGTAGGTGTTAGCCTTCTTCATCGGAGCACTCTGACCTGCACAAAGCAGGTGCTCAGTAGTTGGTAATTGTTGTCATTGGCACATACATTCAGTAGGTGCTTGGTAAATGGTATGGTCATTATTGGAATGCATATAACGTGTACTCAATTTGCAGTAGTGGTCATTATTGGAGCACGCTGACCTACACACAGCAGGTACCCAGTAGATAAGGTGTGGTTGGTTCCAGCCATTGTTTTAGTGGAAGTGGTTCCAGTTCTCTCTTCTCAGTGGAGAGAGCAGAGAGCATCCCAGGGCTAACAGAGAGAGAAAGGTAGAGACACATCCAGATGGTCCTAATCACTCCCTGAGCAGGCAAGGAGAATAACACCGCCTTCCTGGGACAGCTCAGGGAGCTAAAAAAATGCACATTAAGAACTTTGTATCCTACCGGCTCTCCAGAAAGATGCTCCCAACTCTTAAACATCCAATGAGCTTCTGTGCTTAGTCCCAGAGAATAGCTCAAAGTAAGTCTTTAAAACATCTCTTTCTGAGCATTTTCTATGAAGCTGCAACCATCATTTCTGACCAAATAGTTGTTTTCTTTTTTTAACACATAGCTTGTAGGATGGCATCTATTATCTCACAACCATTTAATGAGAGCTGTTTAATACAAACAGTGAGAGGGAAGGTGTTCTGCTTTTTCCGACTGCTGATAAGTAAGGAGGTGCTATTGACATTGGAATTATAGGTGAAATGGCCTTTTTTGGAATGTGACATTTTCACACAAAAATTAAGCTTTAGTGATATGAACCTAAAACTTACATGGTGTTTTTAAAAATTCCCTTATTTTCTTATGATGATGACACTATCATGTACCAAGTGTGTCAGGCACTATTTTAAGTGCTACGGATAAGACCAGTGAACACCAGAGATAGCCCTCATGGAGTATATATTCAAGTTTTGGATGATAAACTTGTAATCACAAGTGTTCTGAATATTAAGAAAGAGAAAGGACAGAATAGGTGTGGACACAGAGGGCAGGGCATTTTTCCAGTCTTTATGGGTGGGCAAAGGTGGGAATGATCTTTGAGATGAGTAGAGATGAGAAAATACGAGCTCGGATAAGAGTATGGTGAGGGTTGAGGAGAAAGGTAATGAGGGGAAGAGAGTTCCAGGAAGACAAAACAGCATGTGCAAAGTCCCAGAGGTAGAAAGACAAATTAGACTGAAACAACTGCAAAACTTTGCAGGAAAGAATGCAGGGGAGGTGGGAAAAGTCTACAGGGCCTTACCAAGGGTCTGGATTTCATCCTGAAACAATGGGGAGCTAGAGAGGGCTGTAGGAAAACAGGAGGAACAAGGTATAGATTGATCTGATTTACATCTGAGAAAGATGAATGGACTAGAAAGCAAAACAGGAGGCAGTGGTCAGGGAGAGTACTACCAGAGACAACACCAGGAAAATGGGGGTTTGGGGGAAAGACATGGAGAAGTGGGCCCATTAGAGGGGCATTAAAAATGTAGAATTCATAGGTCTGTTGCCCCCTTTTTTTTGTTGGGGTAGGAAAGGGGTTAAGATGGTAGCCAGAAGCAGAAATATCTGGAATTTCTTTCTACCTTTCTCAGGAGGTTTTGCATCCATCATCTATCTTCTCAAAGCATCATCCCTGCCCTGAGCCTGAGGGTGGTTTTCCTGAGGGCACCTCGGGAGTAAGCTGCAGAACCCATTCAGGTTGCTCTCTGAAGCTCATCGACAACCTGGGTCTGTGCTCTCTCTCTGATGGTCACCAGTTTGTAATTTTACTTCATCGAATGTCATTTGATTTCTGTTTCTCTCCACTGCTAGTCTACATACTCCATGAGGGCAGGGTGTGTTCCTCCTTCAGCTCATGAGGTTCTCAAAAAAATGCATTAATGGAACAAATGATGGAAGGAACCAATAATCATATCTGTGCTTTGCTGAAGGAGTTGCTTCCAATTGGAACTTAACTAGACACTGAACTAGCTGTGATTCATCCCTATAAAATACATATTCTTTGACCTAGCTAGCCCCTATCTAATACAATTTTCATAAAAACTACTACCCACCAAGTGTTTAAATATGTATGTTCATTTTAGCGATGTGTGTTAAAGGATAAAACAACAAAGAGCATAAATGTCCAACATCAAGAAGTTTGTTTAGGCCCCGGCTGAGTTGGTTAGAACGTTGTCGTTATAACCCAAGGCTATGGGTTGGATCCCCAGTCAGGGCACATACAAGAATTAACCAGTGAATGCATAAATAACTGGGACAACAAATTGATGTTTCTCTCTCTAAAAATCGATTTTAAAAACAGTATATATCTGGTGATTTGATACAGATATGGTAAAATGGTAGAGTATAATGCAATTATTTTTTGTGAACAAACATTATCTATACTCCTAGTTTTATTATTGGAAAGATATTCTAAACATTTTTAATGCTGTTTATATCCAAGTGGTGGAATAAAAACAACTTCTGTTTACTTCTTTGAGTTTTTTTCTCTAACTTTTCTACCATGAGCTTGAATTACTTCCAAATAAGAAATGAAAACGATGGGCAACTGTTATTCCCTAGGGGGAGTTATCAGTGTCAAAGGCTGTCCTAAGATCAAATCAGATAATGACTATTAAATAGCATCCACTTTATTTAGCAAAAGGAAAGCATTTGGTGGCCACAGCGATGGCAGTTTTAGTAGAGGCAGAGCCAAGTGTCAGCTGAATAGGAAAAATGATGACTTTAAAAAATCATTTCCCAGGAAGCTTGCTTGGGACAAACTTGGTGGTTGAGAATCAGATAAGTATACGGGCCAAGATATTTGCCCCTAGAGAGAAATGTTCTGAAGTTCGCTCAGGCCCTTTCACTGGGCAGTTACCAAAACAAGTGAGCATGCGCGAAATCACAGGGCGGCTATGGCAATCTGGCCTGTTTTAGGAAAAGCAGTAGAAAAGCAAGGCCTTACATTTCTGAATTTAGAAAGCGCAAAGAATCATGCAAAAAAGTAAAAAAAAAAAAATAATAATAATAATAATCAAAGGTAGCTCAACTGCATTTCTTGAAACAACTCTCTTGCAAGCCGAGCCATAGTTCCGGGGAACTCTGAGACGACGGGTTGCAGATTCCCTCCGGGCAAAAAGAGAGGCAAAGCCTCTAGCACTGATCCGGGAGCAGAGCGGGAGACACCCCGCGCGACCAATCAGAGAGCACAGCTCGGGGACAAGGCTGCGGATCCTGCGCATGCGTTTACTCTGCTGCGGGGCTCGCGCCGCGTTTGGTCAGTTTCTGAACCGCTCTGAGTCCGTGCTGTCGACCTGGGCCTACTCGGCTGCATCTCTCTGGTAGTCCTCCTGCTCAGCCCCGCGATGCCGGTGGACCTAAGCCAGTGGTCTGGGCCCTTGTGCCTGCAGGAAGTGGAAGAGCGGCCGCAGCACCCGCTGCAGGTCAAATACACTGGGGTGGAGATCGACGAGCTGGGCAAAGTGCTGACGCCCACCCAGGTACACAAGGGCGGGGTGGGGATAGGAGGCTGCAGGCCGCAGGGGCAGGGGCCGGGCGGAGGTGGGACGGCCATTTCAGCCTGTGTGCGCCCGATTCCATGAGGGAGGGAGGTCACGGTGCCCACGCGGCAGGCCTAGCTAGTATAACAGGAACGCGGCACCTGGTGGGCGGGTCGCGGCTTGCGGGAGTCGGTAATCCACTTTCCCAGGACTTCTAGGCACTGGCAGGGTTCTAGGCCCGAAAACAGCCGGGACTGAGGGGACAGTGGCAGGGGCTAGGAAGGGGACTATGACCAGGAACCAGCTAGCTTTGGTCGCCCATGCGTCCTCAGAGCCTCCCTTCTAGTCTCGGGATTTTAGGTCTCATTTTGGAAGCAAACACCCCACCCGAGAACATATGACACGTTATGTAACCGGTGATTATTAGTGCCCAGCGAGGCCTCCTTTGTTTTAGCGGTCGAGACGGGCAGCGGGCCTTGTTTTACTGTTTGGCCTCTGATGCCCCGCCCATGGTGGAGGAAGGACCAGGTCCTGGCTGCTGAAAGTGGAGAAACCAGAGTGCCCGGCACCGTTGTGAGTTGTCCGTCACGGTCACGAAGCTCCGGGGCAATGGCGTGCATACAACTGCTAGATACGACACTTGATTGTTTTGGATGTTTAAATATGAAGTGCCCATCTCTCAGTCTCCCTTCTCCTATTTTCACTGTCCACGTCTGGCCGCCTTGTTTTCTGTGCACTTCTAAATGTCCAGTTCATTCTGATTAGCATGCCCCCCAGGTAACCTGGTCACCAAATGTGGAGACCCTGTCTTTCCAAACCTTGTAAGGTTATTGTTAAGAGGACTCAGTCAGCACCGGGGTTGAAATACTGACCCCAACTCTTTTTGTTAACATGCTAGGATACCAATCTTGTATTATTGTTGGGACTAAAATAAATAATGTAAAGAGTACATTAAACTTCAGCTCCAGATTGCATCAATACACTTTAGCTTTTATTAATAATATACTCTGTTGGGAACCTGAGTGTTGGTTTCTGTAGCATTTTTGACTTTTTAACTCTAAACTGGTTCCTTCCTGCAGGTTAAGAACCGGCCCACCAGTATTACATGGGATGGTCTTGATTCAAGTAAACTTTACACCTTGGTCTTGACAGACCCGGATGCTCCAAGCAGAAAGGACCCCAAATATAGGCAAGTTGGGAAAGTTGGGGAACCGCAGGTCATCCAGATATGAGCTGGTTCTTGCACTGTGTAAGTCTTTTGCTGAACATGCTGTGCTGGTAGACTTGGTTTGGGATGTTCACATACATACTTAAACCAGAGTGTGCATTTCTTCTCTACTCCCTAGAGCAGGAGACTAGAAACTACAGTGAGAGCCAGATCTGCCAGAGGCCTGTTTTTATACAGCCCCATGAGCTAAGAATAGTTTTTACATTTTTTTAAGAATTGGGAAAAAATTGAAAGAAGAATACTTGGGACATCTGAAAATTAAATGAAATTCAAATGTCATTGTCCATAAAAAAAGGTTTATTTGAGCACAGCCATGATAACTTATGTAAGCTTGGTCTTTGACTGCTTTCATGCTACATCCAGAAAGTTGAGGTTTGGTGACAGACAGTAGGCACTGCAAGGCCAAAAACATTTACTGTCTGACTCTTTACAGAAAGTTTGCTGGCCTCTGCTCTAGTCAGCCTCAGAGGGAGGGAGATCCTGAGTCCTCTCTTCTGCAGACACATGAGGTTTGCGCGAACCAAGAAAGGGGACTGTCTAGTGCATCGTTGCATCCTGGCATGGAACGTGGGCTTCGTGCCCATTTATTGGCAGTGCAGTGAGTGCATACTAATTTCCTGTGGTGTTGATGGTCTTGTATTCTTCCATAGGGAATGGCACCATTTCCTGGTGGTCAACATGAAGGGCAACGACATCAGCAGTGGTACAGTTCTCTCCGATTATGTGGGCTCTGGGCCTCCTAAGGGCACAGGTCAGTAAAGGCTGCTTTTAAGGGGAGGTGGAAGGGGAGACTGGGTGCACATTAGGATTGGCCTAATGTGCTGTAAATTTTAGTCTGATCCTTAGAGCTTTGTTCTTGTAGTCATGAGAGCCCTTACCCTAGTGGAGATTTCAGGCAGTGAAGTTCACCTCCAAGGCAGTAGAGTCATGTGACTAGAACCTTGGGTTCTGGTTAGATGGAGTCTGTCAGTGTTGTCTCTTAGCTATTAAGCTTTTAGTAAGCAGGGAAGTCTGTGAGAAGATACTGAAGAAGCAGTGTTGCCGTGTGTTTGAAATAGCTTCCTAGAGGGGCTGCACATATATTGAACACAGTTAAACCATCTAAGTTCCATTTTCTGTCTTGGCCCTGTGGGATCTTTGAGCTTTTAGTTCTCATAAAAGCTGTCAGAAATGACCATAGTTTCTAAATTATTAAAATTGGCTTCTTTATTTCTTTATAAGAAATTGGCTTCCTTTTCTCTCAAAAATCTAATGTGGTATCCTGCATACTTTTGGAAGACTTTAAGAACTATATAGAAGACACACGCACGCACGCACGTACACACACATTGTATTAGACCAAGTTAGAGAAATGTTGCCCAGGCTAATGGTGGTTGGTGGGGCATGGCAGCATCCTAGCTTTTGTACACATTGTCTAGCCATGAGTTAGTCTGCAAAGGTACAAGAAGGTCCCTGAGAAGGACTGTTCACCATAGACTCCTGTCTTATCTGTAGATCCCAGAAGCTTCAGATGGCTTCAGCCCTCTCATGCATTCTTAAAGGAAGGTAAAGGTACATCTTTCTGAGGTATCTTAAGTTCTCTAGGGCAGTTATAAAATTAGGCAGTTTAATTATGGGAAGTACACATTTGAGAATAAAGCAATTCTGTCCAGTAGGAGCTGTGTTCTCATTAACAAAAAAAGCCTCAGTAACTCACTTTGTTTTTCTTTTCCTTTTGTTCATATTCTTTTAGTAAGATATAACTTACATGTAATAAAACACAGATTGTAAGTGTTTAGACAATGGATATTCATGGATGCATACAACCTTTTAAGTTAACTTTTCCCAGAGCTAACCATTTTCTGACACCTGTCTCTGTAGATTACTTTTGTATTCATATAAATGATACACAGTATGCATTTGTTTTTGGTGATTGGCCATTTTCACTTGAGATAATGTCTGAGATTCATCCATGTGTTGTTTGTATCAGTAATTCATTCTTTTTATTGCTAAGCGGCATCGCACTGTGCAAATATACCAGTTTGTGCAGCCCTTCACCTGTGAATGGACATTTGGGTTGTTTCCAGTGTTTGGGTAGTATGAACAAAGCTGCTGTACACATTCTTGTCATTTTGTGGGCATAGGTTTCCATTTTTCTTGGGTAAATACCTAGGAGTAGAATTATTGGGTCATAGAAATTACCAAGAATTTTCCTAAATGGTCAAAAATTTTTATACTCTAATCAGCAGTATAGGAAAGTTGCAGAAGATCCACCTAAGATTCATGTAGTTCCATATCAAAACTCATCCATGTGGTAGCATATAACAAAATTTGCTTATTTTTTAAGGCTGAATAATATTCTACTGTGTATTTATACCATGTTTTGTTTATCCTTTCACTTGTCAATGGGTATTTGAGTTACTTCTACCTCTTGACTAGTTCAGATAATGCTGCAGTGAACATGGGTGTACAGATATCTAAATGCCTTTAAAAAACCAACTTATGGCACCTCTTTGTACCCAGTACTTAATGCTGCAAGGGTCATAGGGTGCTTGCTGCCTCATTTTAAAACGTTCTTTGCTACGTAGTTGGTTGAAGTGAGTTGGACCATCTCTTTCAAAGCAGGCCTCTTGTCTTCCAGGGAAGTAAGTTCTGGGGGTAGAAAGATAATGTTCCCCTTGAGCCTGTGCAGGTGTGACTGTGGTGTGATGAGCACCTGTTCAGTGACTTGCTGGTGCCCTTCATCCACTTCTCATATTTTTTAGCACTTCCTATGTGCCAGGCACGAAGTAAGGTAGGTTCTAATGTAATAATGGTCAACAAGACAAACACTCTAGTTTCGTGGGGCTCTCTTTCCAATGAGGTGATGAAATTAAAAAGTAAGAATTTTAAATAGCCATGTTACTGTGACAGAAGTGGAATGGGCACCCTTATGGGAGAGGTGGGTAATGACTGGGGACCAGCTTCTGCTGGAGCTGGGCAGGAGTCCGGAGTGGGATGGAGGAGGTGTGGAGAGCAGTGGGTGGGGTGGGCAAGGGCCATATCCTATAGGTCCTTAGAGGCTGTAATGCAGGTGTGGACTTTGTATTAATTGCAGTGGAGTGACATTGGATGATTTTCAGCAGGTGAGTGACCTGGCTCCTTCTGGGTTCTCAGTGTCCTTGTGATTGGGGAAGGGGGGGTCTGGGTCCCTCCAAGTTGGCACATTCGGTGAAAATGGATTGTCTCCATCAGACGTGTAGCCGTGTGTATATCTTCCTTCCTGCCTCTCTCCTTCCAGGCCTTCACCGCTACGTCTGGCTGGTTTATGAGCAGGACAGGCCACTGAAGTGTGATGAACCCATTCTCAGCAACCGATCTGGAGACCACCGTGGCAAATTCAAGGTGGCATCTTTCCGTAAAAAGTATGAGCTTGGGTCCCCAGTGGCCGGCACGTGTTACCAGGCAGAATGGGATGACTATGTGCCCAAGCTCTATGAGCAGCTGTCTGGGAAGTAGGGGAAAGCCAGGAGACAAGTATTGCCCCGGGGGCCCCAAGCAGTGTTCTCAAGTTCAGTGATGCATGTAGATTTCTCCTTTTCCCTGTTCCCATTCTCACAGGCGAGACCTGAGCAGATAGTGGTGTAGGGTAACTTTTCCTTCTGCCTATCATTTCTAATTGTACTGGGTTACACACCCTGGTTTATGTTTTGATCAAATTTGGACTCCATTTTGGGGGCTACTTTGGTACTATGATGTGGTCATCAGATTGTTAATATAAGAAGGGCAACCCAGAATTTAAAAGAGAAAAAATTTAGGTAAGAAGAATAGTTCTACAGTAGTAGTGTAGAGCATCAAAAAATCTTTTAAGGGCGATAAAGAAAAAAGGATTCATTGCCTCTGCCATTGTGAGCCTGAATCAGCATTGTGCATGGTAGCATATCCTGAGATATGTTTTCACGGTCTTCTCGCTCCCCCGGCATGTCCGTTAAGCCCCAGTATACATCTCGGGTTGTTACTAGGTGTCAGTATTCTGCTCCAGCTCCCTCAACGAGCAGTATGGAAAAGAGCAATAGGGAGCATCGCTTTCCCATTGAGGCACAGCCGTCCAGATGAGCTGCAGGGCTGGGTGGGAGGTTATCAGAAATCCATGAGTCTGCCTGTTAAATTGACTACTCTTCATTGGTGTAACAAAAGCCAGTCTGGAGTTGCTGAATGTCATGTTAATTCTGCTGTTTGCTTATAGTTGAATAAAAATAAAAACCTTGTGTGGACAAACTGAGCCTCCAGATATTTTGTCCTTTTGAATATGGAGTTTCACAAATGTAGGAAGTCAAGAGACAACTTCAGAGGGTGAATATCCCCTTTCCTGGACCAGCTGAAATGACTGGGACTGGATTCAGGGATCATACAGAGGGTCCAAACTTGTACACATTCCATTAAACTGTAGCAGGAACGACCATTCATTTAAATTTGAGATTTTTTAAAAATCACAAAACTTTAGTCAAGCCTTCTTGCCCAGAAAGCACATTTGCTTTTTGTAAGAGGTCCCCCATGGTGCAGTTGTGTGCAGACACCGTAACTATTGGCTAAGAAACAGCCTATACCTCTTTTTGTTCTGACTTAAAATCGACACAGAATCAATACCGGGGGAGGGGCAGGCAGTTAGATCACTCACGACCGTTGATGTACCAAAAGAAAAGAAAGGCATTGGAAGGCCTATATCACTGACCTGGTCTCTGATGGAGACGGGGATCTTGAATTAGGCCTGGCAGGTGTTGGGCAAGGCTGGGCTTTGCCCCACCTTTCGCAGTTGTACTTCTTTGAAAAACTGTTGCAAATGTTGCCTCATGTAATAAATCTCTGGGGGCAGATAAAGTAGACAGTAATTTTTTTAAACTTGAGGATTATAAAATTTTTAAAATAATATTTTATCCCTGGCTTGTGTGGGTGAGTGGATTGAGCATTGGCCTGTGAACCAAAGGGTCATGGTTTGATTCCCAGTCTGGGCACATGCCTGGGGTGCGGGCCTTGTCCCCAGTTAGGGGTATGCAGGAAGCAGCCGATCAATGTTTTTCTCACACATTGATGTTTCTCTCCCTCTCTTTCTCCCTCCCTCCCCCTCTCTCTAAAAATAAATAAATTTTTTTAAATTGAAAAAAAATATTTTATGAAACGAGTTGTAAAGAAAACTACCTTATTGACCTTAAAAATAAATGTGAAGAGTAACGTACATGGTTAGACAACGCAAACGGTATAGGAAGAAAATGCTTTTCCCCTTTTTGTCTCTTCCAGTTACCAGTTTTCTTTCAGAACAGAATAGAAATACTGATACCAGTATATTTTTACATATTTACCCTTAAAAATTACAGTCTTCCTGTGCAGACTGGTATGCATAGTTTTGCTCTGTCTGTCCCCAGCTAATGTGCCCCCATGCAGTAGGTCTGCAGTTAACAGGTCAGCACAATTCATGCCATATTTGAACAAATACTCTGGGTATGAACCCGTCCAATTCCCTACTGTAATTAGATTATTTCTGATTATTTGCTGTTATAAACAGTGCTTCAGCAAACTGTGTGTGTGTGCTTTAAAATGCTTTTGCAAGTAGTTTAGTGGAATAAATTCCTAGCATTGAAATAATCAGTTCATAGAGTATAGACATTTTAAATGCTGGTGCTGACAAACCACCCTCCAAAAACATCATACTGATTATATTCCTGTCCATGGTATGTGAAAGTAGCTTTTTCCATATCCTTACCGGTTTTCTCAAACTTTACACATTTGACAATTTTATATTTATTTATATTTAAAATCATTCACTCTTTCTCTAAACTGTTTTCTCTGAGATCTTGCTAACCACAGTACTTTTTTAGTTATAGTCTGAAGATTTATGAGGAATAATAGTAATCTGTTTTCTTGTCTAGAACAGGTATAGACTCAAATATTTCTGGAAAAACTCAACAACCCAACCAAAAAAGGTGAAGTATATGCACATGAAGTTCACATAAAAAGAATAATACACATGGAGAGACATATTAGTAAACTTAGCAACAGTGGGATACCATGTTTCACCTATTAAATTGGAAGTAAAAATGACCTTGCACAAGGGCACATCACTAGGAATCAGATGCTCCAGGTTCACAATAAATTTTATTTTTAGAGAGGGGAAGCAGTGAAGAAAAAGGGAGAGAAGCATGTGGGAGGGAAATAATCCATTGCTTCCTATGCATACCCTGTCCAGGGACTGAACCTGCAACCCAGGCATGTGCCCTGGCGGGGAATCAAACTGGCAACCTTTCGCTTGTGGGATGATGCCTAACCGATGAGCCACACTGGTCAGGGCTGTATGTGCAATTTTTAATTTAATGTTTAACTCCTCTATTAGACTAGACCCTTCATGAAGGCAAGGACAACTAACCTCTGCCTTTTTACCTGACTGTTTAAGAGACTTACTATTTGACATAATTTAATATTGGTGAGATTTAGGTCTACTGTTATGTTTTCTGTTTGCCCTTCTTTCTTGATTTCTCTGTTCTTCCTTTCCTGCCCTCTTTTGGATTATTTAAATATTTTAGTTTATTAGATTTTTGGCTATTACCTCTTTTGGTTTCTTTTTTTGGTAGTTGGAACATAACTAACACATAACTAATTTTTCAGTCTGTTTACAATAAAAATTTTACTACATGTAAAATGCAGAAGCTTGACAACCAGTGGGTTCTTTAACCCTCAACCTTTATGCTATAGCTTATGCTTTGGCGTATGGGTTACATTTACGTAAGTTGAAACCCTCACCAGACAATGTTACAATTTTTGCTTTCAACAATATATATGTATTTCAAAATAGTTCAAAGAATATGAGGGGCAAAAGTCTTTTATATTTACCTAGATATTTACCATTTGCTGCTTTTCCTTCATTCCCAGAAATCCAAGTATTCTGGTACCATTTCCCTTCAGTATGAAGAATTCCTTTAGCATTTCTTGTAGAGTTTAGTCTGCTGGCAATGAATTCTCAATTTTTCTTCATGTCAGAATGGTTTTATTTCACCCTCATTCCTCTGTCTAGGTTGCTTTTCCACAATCCACCTGCTTTTATTCTTCAGTGTCCTCTGTTTGTCTAGTTTTTTAATTGTATTCAACAGGAAAGATTTACACTGCTCTGCCAAACTGGAACAATAAAAATGTATTTTTTATATATTATAATTTCTTATAATGGCAAAATATATTTCTAAATTAGAATCAGAGGGTTATATAGAGTTCTTACAGAGGCATGCTTTCAGTTGCCCAGGAATACTCTTTCAACCAGTACATAAACAAATAATTATAGATGATGATAAATTCAAGAAAGAAACTTTGACTCAGTTAACTGGCACTAAGTATTCTCTGACACCCTCTGTGACTAAACTCACAGCACCCAGTCCTTGGCTTATCATGGTTCATCTCAGTCCATTGTTGATTAGTCTATTGCTAATTTGCTTCTGTTTCAGGAGAGACTTAAACCATGAGCTCCAGCAAAGTAGTGACCCCATCCATCTTATTCACTACTACACTCCCAGGCACACAGTAGGTGCTCAGTAAATACTTCTTGAATGAATGAGTATATGCTGATCGTGGCAATTCTAATCCTCTTTCCTTCCTTCTTCCTTTATCTACTTATTACCATGTAAGATGGTTTGTTTATTGTAATTACTGTGTATTATCAGTTCCCTCCTCAACGTAACCCCCTTAGGGCAAGGATCTTTACATGTTTGAGATACATTGATGTATCTCAAGCATCTGGCCTGGCACCTGACACATAAGGTACTCAGTAAATACCCATTGAGTGAATCATCGCACATCAAAGGCAAGCAGCCCTTACTAATATGTATGACAAATCTGTAATAAGTTTAAAGTCAGGGGAGTTTAGCGTATGCTGAAATTACAGGACACTAGGCCTCTGCTGCTGTCCCAGCATCTCTTTCATACCTGTTCTCTTGCTGCCATTCTGGTTGTCTATTCTCACTGCCTCCTCGTGCAGGTACTAGGAGTTGGAAGACAGTCTGTCCCAGGTGTTAGGAGCAGGGACCCATGCTCCTTCCTTCTGATCTTCCTTTTGGTATCTCTGCCTTGGAACACATCACTGACAAACTTGTGGAGGGAAATTTTATAAAGATCAGCACCTGTCATCTCAGACACAAAATCTTTTCAACAATCTAGCTAGACATTTTTCACTACAAATATGAATGAAATAGACTTCATGAAGTTTTTGTCTTACTGAAGATTTAATGTCCCGAATGGTGGTATGACCTATGCTAAGCAGTGTTCGGAAATCAGACAAGTCTAGATTCAGTCTCCACCACCACCACTTACCCTGGTATGAGCTTATTTCCTTATCTGTAAAATGCTTAGTGTAGTGTCCCATCACATGGGAGGCATAAACATGAAGTAACAGGCTACCTATTTTTCATGGGTAATTGAGTCTTCTTTCTAGCCCTTTGCAATACTATTTTCTGTTGTACCTAACATAGAAACTTCAATGAACTAAGCGCCTTAGGAAACCAGGTGATAAATTAAAGGCTTTATGGTTGGGGTTAACCCTGGACAATTATTTTGCAGATTTTGAGTCTATCTCTCTGCTTTAGTCTATTATAGTGAGCGTGACTGTTCGCATGTGTCTGTGATGACTAAATATCCCGGAGGATACAAAAGCAATCTTCAGGTCATCATACTAAAGTTTAATTTTCAACATCCAGGACTTAGAACCCTAAGAATATGAGATCTTACTGAGATTGTCTTAAACCCAAAGTCATATTCTAGAAGTTAAATATTGTACTATCTCATTGATATGAACATAAAAGTATTCCAATAAAAGCAGAACATGAGGGGCAGGGGATCTGTTACAGTGGGATCACTTCAAGTATTTGGCTATAATTTCTTCATAGCCTGCCTTGAAGGATGGCCAGCTTCTCTCCTCAGCAATAATGCACTTCTACGCACAATTGGCGTGGGCGGGGGGGCGGTTGGGGGTGTGTGTGTGTGCCTTTTTCTATTCATAAGGGCAAAAAGGTGCAGTTGGCCACTTTCAAACAGTGCAATGCTATCTTCAATCTTGTAGAAGAACTTGGAAGACAGAGCTTTACCTGGAAATCGTGAATGGTTCTTCTGGGAGCAACCGGTGCTACGGAGAACAGTTTCTGGAGGGTGGCTCTCCATCTGAATTATGAACTGGTAAACCTAGAAGGGAAACTTCCTGGTACAATAACACAGCAAGGCGATGTGATGAACACTTTTATTTACAAATA